ATGTTGTGATTACAAATCCTGAAAATATTTTTTTACAGTGTACAGTATATATTATTATATGTATATACTGTATATATATATATACTGTATATACTGTATGTGTGTATGTTAGTATGTGTGTGTGTGTGTGTGTGTGTGTATGTATGTATATATATATATATGAAGAGTTCAGATGCAAAAGCCTCTAAATGCCATTTGAAATTTTCTTCTTTAATGATGATTTTTATCAAACTTGTATATTTAAGTTCAGTAATTTCACTTAAATAACAATTAATAGGTAATTATCATTGCCATTTAAGTGAAATCACTGAACTTAAATATACAAGCTTGATAAAAATTATCATTCTAGAAGAAAATTTCAAATGGCACTTAGAGGCTTTTGCATCTGAACTCTTCATATATATATATATATATATATATATATATATGTTGTGCGCACACACATGCATATATATATATATATATATATATATATGCGCATGTGTGTGTGTGAGAGAACTATCCTTTTTAAATATGAGAAATGGGCAAACGGGCAAGAAATGTCAGCACATCAAATTGAACGGGAAGGAAATGTACATTTAGCCAACAGCTCCATTCAAGTACATCAAAACTGTGATTGGAAAAAAAAAAACTTTTGTCTGGAAATAGTTGTCTAAGGGCATTATCAAGATGCCCACAGACTGGACTGATGCTGCCATTAAGTGATGTCAGAATGGCTGTATTTACTGGTTGAATGCACAAGAACGCCACCACAATTGTGTAATTACCAGTGGTCAACCCGGTATTTTCTTTGAGCCCTGTAGTTCAGAGTTGACCTAGTCATTTACAGAATCATCATGGAAGCCACTGTAATTGTTATTGTAACTAGTTTACACATGTTGAAGAGTAGCTGTCAAATCCATAGCCTTGTGTGCAGCAATCCAACAAACTCTACTGCCCATCCACAATCCCACTCATGCAATAAAGGCATCGATGTCCAGAAGACCTTTTGAAAATTGTCAAATGCATAGATTTTATTTCAACCAGACTGCTTTATTCCAATACATCCCATTTGAATTACATTTTGCAAAGTCAGATGTGGGAACTTTAGTTGCAATGAGAGTGGAATATTTAGTAGGAACACATTTTCTAATATTTAATTCTGACATTGAATCAATGAATTCATTGCTGAACATTTTGACTGGTTAAGGTGATGGATGCAGGTCATCATGCTTGGCAATAAAAGAAGAACAACTTGACTTTATCTCGCAGCTGAAAGGCCTCAGTGCATCGCAGCGCTGCAATCTCACTCATCTTTCCCCACAGTTACAAAACACCACATCAATAATGTTTGCACCGAGTGCAGCTGGATAAAAATACACCACCTTTGGTAACCCAAAGCAATGAGAACTTGTCTTCTCTACACTCTCATCATGCCTCAGTCTATCTCTCCATCTCTCTTGCACCTACTGTAGGGAAACGACAGAACTTCATTTCATTACCTATGAAGGCACGGCATCAAAGAAACTACAATGCGCTCCTCACTCAACGCTAGTTGCCACGGCAACAATACAATGGACATTATATAGCTAATAAATAGTGAGGAGGAGGAGGGGGAGGAGGAGGAGGAAGATGAAAAAAGAAGAAGATGGGGTGAACGAAAGCATGAACATGTGAGATCTATTCCTGGAGCTGCAGAGAGAGGACTTCAATGCCTTTACTGTGATTTCGGCTTCAATCAAAACAGCGCTTGGAAATCATGTCTTGGCCTCTCAGAGGAGATGCTAACATGTGATTCCAGTGATGGCGCTTATTACATTTTTTTTTTTTACATCATATGCCAGCAGAATTAAATAAAAGTACCATCGACAGAAGGCACTGCTAGATGTTGATAACCTACAAATCTGCTTCTGTTCCAGGCAAGAAGGCAAAGAACGCCAGAACGACACGCTTCCATGCAGATGCCCCTCAGAAACCCCTTGAAATGCCACCATACAAAGTCCTGCGACAGTGGGACAGAAGACACATGTATTAGGGCAGACCAATAGGGAACCGCCATCAAAAGAGAAGAGGAGAGCACCCCTCCATATGACTGGAGAGTGACTGAGATGAAAAGGCCCTTTTCACAGTGGAGATCTGGCAAACAGAGATATAAACTTCCCTGTGGTGGCAAAAGGGTTTTCAATGCAACAGTGATATTTCCATCACCATCCATCACCAATTGCCTTCCTTAAGAGATTGCTTGTCTTGTACAGAGGGAATGATGTATAATGTGGCCAGGGAGAGTTGTGTAACTCACAGGCCAAATGAGGCTTTAGTTTAAGGATTGCCAGCCACACACATCCACAGGTAGGGAGAATTTCAGGAGCGATACAGAAGAAATAATGGCATCCTTTGAGATCTATACAAGTGATTGAGTTTAATAAATGGTAGAAAGGTTTGACAGCTTAGACTAACAGCAAAATTCAATATCAACTTTTTTTTGACACACCTGCCAATGGGGAGTAGCCTGGTAACTCTGCTACTTCCCTTTGCTTCATAGACACTCTGAAATTGCATAATTAAATGTGTGTGTGTGTGTGACTGTGTATTGGGGAGGGGGGGGCGGGGTTGCGGGCTTGTCTGAAGTATAAAATCATTAGTTACCCGTAAGCCAATCACATAATGCAATCACCTCTTTCTCCAACTTAAACATCACCTCCATTCAAAACGTTTAACAAACACCCTTATTGTTCGGGCTTCAGTTTGCAAATACCGGGAAACAGAGCGAATTGCATTCCGTGTCTCCATATCCATGGTCGTTTAGATTACCCTAACCTAAAATACAATCTTAAACTCGGCGCTTAGCGTCTGCATCACAACTCTCAGCCTGCCCTCTGTTCGTTGATTGGCCGGCTCTTTTCAGGCCGGAGGAAAAATAAGAGATATGTCGCCATCTCAGAGTACAGAAGTATGAAGTCTGACGTAGTCAGACTAAAGCCGTGTGTCCACCAAAGCGTTTTTAGCCAGCTGAAAATGCCAGACGCTCTGCTGGCAGAGTGCTTTGGGCGCTTGAGAGCGTTTTGGCAGCGTTTTTTTCCGTTGAGACGTTTCGTCGCTATGATACATAATATCCGCAGCACAGTTTGAATGTTGTGACAGTTGGTCGGTGTGGTATTAGTCCCGCCCCTCCTCCACTGTGATTGGACAGCTGGGTAAGAAATGACAGTGATGAGCGCTGCATTTTATCCAAAGTTGAACATTTTTCAACTCTCGGCGACCAGTGAAAAACGCTTCAGCGTAAAAAAAATGCCCAGCTCCTCATTACGCTCATGGCGTTTAAAAAACGCAGCGCTCCCATTGAAAATAATCAAAAAACATACGCCAGGCGCGTGGAAAAACGCTTTGGTGGACACACGGCCTAAATGGGGAGTGTTTTTACCACCCATTAATACTTACCACTCCTTGAAAAGACTTGTGCATTATTTTATCATTTTTTTATACAATATAATATAGTACAGTATATATAATTAATAAGTAAACATTTATATATTTTTAAAATATGTAATTTGTATGTAAAAAAAAATAAAAGATAATTACATTATAAAATAAACATAATGATGAATTATCAGCCATAAAAAATACTGGACAATATTTAGTAATTATTTTTATTATTATAATATAATAGTAATTGTAACATCTATATCTATCTATCTACATCTCTAAAAAAAGAACAATAATAAAGTATATGTATTTATTCAAATTAGACTGAAATGATTTATACTGTATTTATAACTGTAATCCTTGAATTATCATAATATCACAACTAATTCTCCTGAGTGAGTGAGTCAGACTCTATCCTTATGTGAAATTGTACCTGCTGCAGAAACATCAAAAAGACAGTTATTTTGTTTCTCATATTGATCCTTGTATTGAGAGTTATTTCACATCTGGTGGAAAAATAAAAAATGCTATTAAAAAAAATCTAAATATTTTTACCGGACAACTCAAAAATAACTGTTTTATTTACTCACCAAACACAATTATTTCTAACAAGCGGTATGCTAATTTTGGATGCTACCTGACTGCAGGAGGAAAGTAAAAAATGCACTTAACAAAAGTACTGTAGCTATTGCAACACTCCCCTTGTTACCGTAGCTAAACTAAAAGAGCATACTTGGCAAAAGTGAACAAGCACTAACTCTTATAATTAGATTCTCTCTCTCCCACCTCCCTACTTTCCCCCTGTTTCTCTGAACACATGCGTCAGGGGATCAGGGTGCCAGACAAGCATGTGCAAAGCATTAGTGAAATCCAACGGACTGCAAAGTACACCAGCGTCACCATGACTACCCCACCTCAGCACCAGGATGACATCGCCATGGAAACAGCATCAACTGCCCACTCGACCAGCAGTGCCGTAGGTGGATGCTGAGGAAATGACAGCAAAAATCGCCCGTGCCAAAACACTGACGTTTGCTGAGATGGTGCGTTTGCTTTGCACAGGGCCTTGTGCAGAACCTCCCTGCGTTGCGTTCTGAATGCAGTATTTTTACAAACAATTCAGACCGAGGACATTCCCACATGCTCTAATGCTGGCTGCTGCTGTCATACCGTGCCGAGTAGCTGAGCGGCACTTTAAAATGCTGTTCAAGCCGTTAAAATGTGGCTTGATGAGCAATTCAGTCACACTTTTACAATAGTGATGCTCAAAGCGGCGGGAATCACTCTGCTGCTGGCACAAGCAAATCAAGAGAGAGGCTTCCTGCTGAAATTAACATGTCTGTATGAGAGACGCGAGGGGGGTCGGCTGGGTTATCCAGACGGTGATATCATTGGCTCAATTGCCCATAGAAACACCTTCCCTGTAAACAGAAAGTGAATCTGTCCCAAAGCTACTATTATTGGTTTACTCAAGACACATAACGCTATATTCTTACTGCATGTCAGCAGTTTTCTCAAATTGTGTCTTTCTTATTTGTCGTAAGGGATTTTAAGAGAAATCTTTGTCGTCTAGACCAACAAGATGAGAAGAGTCGTACCAGTGAGGCCGTAGTCTTCGGCGGATCCGGTCGAGCAGTTGGCGGGGCTGATGGGGGGGCTGGCGGGGGGGCTGGTGCTGAAGCTGGCGTAGCCAAGAGATGAGCTGACCTCCGATGGCTCGCAGCTGTGGTTCTGTAGGGGTTTCTGGACGTCCTGGGAGGACGACAGCGAGGTCCGTTGCTTTGGCTATGACAGGAAAAAGTGAAATGTTAGCATTAGTCACTTAAAGAGGAGACTTTTACAAGTCAAGCCAAGATGATGCGATCTCCGAAGCGATTGTAACCAATTACTGGCTGCTGGAGTCATCTAGACAGTGGCGCCTCCAGAAATTTTTCGTAGGGGTGGCCAGATGGGGCCAGTTAAAATCTTGGGGTGGCACACCAAAACTACAGTATAAACCATAATTTCAGAATTGTTTTCTACTGTTGTAATAAACCAGCCTGTAGAAACCTATCAGAAAGACTTAAGGAAACTCCTACTGATATACTTTGGTTTATTGTGTAATATTTAATGTTACTAATGATATTAGTAGGGCCCAACTAATATATATTACATTGTATATAATGATATATATTATATGATATATAAGGGTCCTTGCCCCACAGCAAATTTCCAGATACTTACATAATTGTGATGAATTTAATCATTTTTAAGTTATTAGTTTGCAGTGTAAGATTACAGTTAACACCTTTAAATATTACATACATGTATTATGAATTTTTAATACACTTAATGAGTGTATACATCAGCAGCAAAAAGTAATTCTTGAAAAAATCTGCACAGTAAATTTATAAAATCTAAATATGTTAATAAAAACAAATTACTATTAGTTCTCTTTTAAAATTCAATCAGGCAATCATGTCACAATTTTATATTTATATATTACTGTCAAGAATTCAGAAGTGCATAGCCTAAACTACAAATAAATTATATACAATTAAATTATGCTTATTTAAAATGTATTGAGCAGGCTAGGTATAACAAAATATATTGGCTTTTAATAATATTTCAGTGCGAAAACCCATGATTGAGCCCGTTCTTGCATGATTACATGAAAAACATCGCGGGTGCAGAATGATGTGCTCAAAGCAACATGGAGTCAGTGTGCAGCAGCACTGCGCTTCATAAGTGTGCATTTAAAAGCTCATGTCACAAATCGAAAAAATGTTGAGCGCACAAATCCAAGTGCGATTTGTTCCTTTGTTTCACAGTTATTGTGCGTTTGATGCCGATTCATAATCCTTGTGATATGTATGTGATCTAACAGAACACGGTAGTGAGTCGCTTAAAAACAGCAACAAACTCCAAGAAAATAAAGTAATTTTATGCGAATATACAGACTTTTATCTACAGATCATGCATTTATAATGTCAATATATCATATTGGAGAGAGTTTTACCGTGCATCCAAGAGGCGCGCGTGCTGTTTGAATATGAATGGAGATGATTGACAGTCGCAGGAGGGAAAACGAGTTTATACTTTAATGATGTAAATATACTTCTTTCCCTCACATTAAGCTATGGAATGACTTCAGATGACTTTGTCACCCAAACTGACGTGAAAAAAGCGGGAGGCGCCGAAAAGCGCGCTGTTAGCATCCCTGCCTGTCCAAACGTGGCAAAAACACACCTAAAAGCTGCTGTAACAGTGTACCATTTGGCACTTAAAAAAGCACGTCACGACACATAATTCCCCGTCTTCTTTTACTTAAGAATATTTTTGACTTATTTATAAAATGCATAACTGATGCTACAAAAATTAATACTGGCCATTGGGGTGGCCAATGGGGTGGCCAGGAGTCGGCCAGGGGTGGCCATGGCCACCCCTGGCCACCCCCTGGTGGCGCCATTGCATCTAGAAGAGAGTGGTATCAAATTTCTGGCCCTTGAATATGAGCGACAATGCATAAATGTTTGGTTTATAATTCAACTTCAAATAATTAAGAGAAGCAGGCTGAGTTTGGACATGTTTCACTGAGCATGTTTATGATTCGCCAGAATTTTTAATCAAGTTTGTTTTTGAGCAAAAATTAAATGGAATCACATTTTATTTTTAAAAGGTAAAAAAAAAAGTAAAAAAAAATAAATTATACACATAAGGGTGCAATTGTGAGAGTCACATTTGCAAGATATGAAGTCACATTGTGAGATACTGTATAATATCACATTATGAGATATAAAACTGCAATTACAAGATATGTATTTACAAATGAGAAATAAAGTCAAAACTGGTAAATATAGTAAAATGGTCATTTGTAAATTCATAATTACTAAAAAAGTAGTAATAGTGAGAAGTTTGTATTTACGAAAAAAGTTTTAATTGTGAGAAAGTCACAAATGTGAGGCATATAGTCGCAACAGAAATAAAGTCGCAACTGCGAGATATGAAGTCATAATTATGGGAAAATGCTAAATTCAGTCAAACTGTGAGATAAATTAATTATGAGAAATATTTGCAATTGTTAGAAAGTTGCTATAACGAGAAATAGTTGCAATTGTTAGAAAGTACAGTAGAATTTACATTAAATAGTTGCAATTGTGAGAAAGTCGCAATTACGAGAAAAGTTGTAATTGTGAGTGTAAGTAGCAATACAAATAGTTTCAATAGCAAGATATGAAGTCATAATTATGGGAAAATGCTAAATTTAGTCAAACTGTGAGACAAATTAATTACGAGAAATAGTTGCAATTGTGAGAATTTTGCAATTACGAGAAAGTTACAATTTTTGGAAAGTTGCAATAACGAGAAATAGTTGCAATTGTTAGAAAGTACAGTAGAATTTACATTAAATAGCTGCAATTGTGAGAAAGTCGCAATTAAGAGAAAAGTTGTAAGTACTGTAGCAATACAAATAGTTTCAATAGCAAGATATGAAGTCATAATTATGGGAAAATGCAAAATTTAGTCAAACTGTGATAAATTAATTATGAGAAATAGTTGCAATTGTGAGAATTTTGCAATTACGAGAAAGTTACAACTGTTAGAAAGTTGCAATAACGAGAAATAGTTGCAATTGTTAGAAAGTCGCAATTACGAGAAAAGTTGCAAGTGTGAGTGTAAGTAGCAACAGTGAGATATATAGTCGCAATACAAATAGTTGCAACAGCAAGATATGAAGTCATAGTTATGGGAAACTGCTAAATAAAAAGTCAAACTGTGAGAAAAAAATTATTACAACAAATAGTTGTAATTGTGAGAAAGTCGCAATTATGAGAAATACTTGCAAGTGTAAGAAAGTTGCAATTGTAAGATATATAGTTGCAATAGAAATTGGTTCCAATAAGAAGATATAAATATGATAAACTGCAAAATATAAGGTCAAATTGTGAGATATAAATTAAATACGTGAAATGGTCACAATTGTTAGAAAGTCATAACAGCCTTTTATATTCCCATGAATGACTCCAATCGTTGTAAGAAAAAGATGCTTTTGATGCTTGCTTTCATTAACGATTTCTGCATTCCAACAAATACATTCCAACAAAAATCAAATGCACTACACAATAGAGTTTGTCTACAGCAGCGAGGTAAGCCTGTAAGTAGGAGGTGGAATAGATGTGCAATACATATTGCTCAGCGAGAGGGAGAGACAAAGTGAGACAGGAGAGAAAACGACAAAAAGAGATGACTATGTACAGAGTCAAACAGTTGTATAACCACAGGAAGCTTTACATAAACATCATCTTAGCTTTCAGTTGCATCACAGGTGGCCAAAATGCCAAATTAATTAATATGCATGAGAAAAATGTCTCTGATTTAAGTGGTTTAATTTCACACACAAATGCACTTGCCAGAAAACTGGCTCCACTTGAAAACAGTGATAAAAAAATGCACAAAGAAGAAAATTATTGAGCAAACAAGACTGAAGCAAAGAGAGGGTGAACTGTGGTCTACTGTATATTTAACAACAACAAAAAAGTACACATAATAAACACGTTTAAAGCAAAAGTGTTTTACTGTACGTGCTTCAACCAGCCTTAAATCAATTTTCTTTCTTGTGTCATTGTTTAATAATTTACAACATGACCTCTTATGGCCTCTGACCAAAGTAGATCTCACCACGTTTCTACGACCTGTTCGCGATATACATTAATTCTTAAATATGTTCTTGTGTCTAGACTAGCTCAGTGTTGGAAAACTAATCCTTATATCAAGTCAGAAATCTTGGAGTGACTCTAGAATCAGACCAGAAATCTAGAAATTACAGCCAGGAGAGTTCTCAAACACTACTCAGAGAATCTCCAAAGTAAGACAAAGTCCATTGAGAATCCCCCCGAAAACACTGATACATCAGTTTTTATACAACAGGCATGTCAAATGACATTAATATTACTGGGTAGAGGAGACTTTGTTTTAATAATTACTTCACTGATGACAAGTTCTAACTTAGTCATCTGTCTAGTTCCAATTCCCATATTTTTTATCTATACACACAGTCATGCGTTTAACACACATACATTCATCTAAAGTACAGCATGTTTTAGTACATTGTCTGCTACTTTATTTAGCAGGTTAAATGAGGTCAACTGTTAAAACATGGTTAGCTTAATATTCAGTTTAAAATTTTCCGCCACAGGTTCATGAAGGGTTGTTCCAGGGTTGTTCAGGCAATTTTCAATTTGTTGTCAAACACACCTTGTGTCAGGAAGTGCTGCTAATGAACCTGTTACTCACACACAGACTTTCTGTCTCTCACCATGAACTCCTAATGAGTCTGTCATGGCTGACTGTAGTTAAATTAAAAAAACAAAACATGCCTGTTCGTCAAACACACCCACTGTCTCCTCTAATAAATGTTCTACAGCAGTCTCACACATACATACACACTTTGACAGATTTCTATCCAAGGTGGAGATCAAGAAGGACACATGGTAGACTTGCATACTCATGCACGTTAGCTTACTAACACTACCTTCATTACGCAGGGCATTATTCGGCGAGTGAGAAATTGTGCGCTAATTTATGGATGATAATTATGATAATTATTCAGTGGGCTTTGGGATCGCGGGGCAATAAATGCTACTAACGTGACTGTTTTACCTCCCAGAGGGGCATTCTGCACATTTAGGAATGCAGTAATGTCAATAGATATGCAGATCACATTCAACTCAAATCTCAGAGCGAGAATTTATAATTATAGAGAAACATTCAGCATTGATTTTATATGCTCATCTGGTTTGGGAAAT